TTTTTACATTTATTATGTATTATATAAATATTTTTTTTATAAATATAATCCAAAAGTATATTTCTAAATATATAAATATATTTAATTATAAATGTTACATAAATATTAATACTTTTTCCTGATGTCTTTTTGGCAATATTTCTGCATGTTTTAATATATAAAATGTTGCCTTTAAATATTACTTTTTTTTTTTTTTTTTAAAGGAACATTTCAGTAATATTTTACAAATATATATAACATTTTGGAGAAACACAAAAATCCTCAGAGACTCAGTGGACCACAGGAGAGCATGTAGGAAGCAAGAGGTGAGTTCTACTGTGGTCCAGCACAAACACAGATTAAACCACACATGCACACACACACACACACACAAGCATACACACATGCACATACAGACCTGCGCATTTTCTCATACAGATTCCTGTTCTGTTCTCAGATTTCAGCTTCATCCAGAGCTCTGTTAGGACTTTTTGTCTCAGTGGTCATGAGCCACCTCTGATCGTCCTGAAGGAGCCATTCTGTTTAGAAACCCGATCCGTCTGAAATTACTGCGGCACTGGAGTTTTGGTCCCTGAACCACTCTGTAATAAATCACCGTGGGCCAAATCTAATATGTCGTATAGCAGGACAGAGGAACAGTGTGGACAGGTGGACATTAAACTTGATCAGAGGGTCAGACTAGTTCTCATTTCCTGCCAGAGGTCTCAAATGAATGTTCGCCACCGATATTAAACGACCACAGAATGATTATTGCATTGCCAAATGTAATATGATTTAATTTACTTTTTAGTTGGGTGTTCGTTTTTGTCAGTACCTGCACACAATTCTTGTGTCTAGTGAAAGCGTCACAGTAGGGCCTACAGTAAGACTATTGTTTTGTATTAGCCTACACATTTTCTGAAATGTTATGTTTACATATGCAGATGAGCCAAATTTATCTAATTAAATATGCTCTAATTTGCATAGAATTCCAGAAACGAAATCGTATTAAAGCCTTTTTTTTTGATTCGTGTTTCATTTTGTTGAGTTAAAAGTTTTTTGGATACATTTTTTTAGATATAGCCTATCAAATGTAATCTTTTTTATCACTCCATAAATCAGAAAATACTCTCAACAAGTAGGGTGACCATCTTTTATTTTCCAAAAAGAGGACAGTAGGGGGCGGGGTTCACCTAACAGTACACAAAATACAATGTGTATTTTGGATGTTTTCTTTCTCCAGTCTGAAAGAACGCAATGGAAGCAACATTTTAAACAGGTGTGTGCAAAAGAACGACATAAAATCTTTGCGTTCCATAAACAGTAATAGCATTTTGGTGAACTGTTCCTTTAAGAACGTTTCGAAACTATTTGAATGACTAACAAAGAAATGAATTAAATCAATTAAAAGAAAAGCGAGTGTGGACAGAACTTATCACACACCGGTCTCGACCTCAGTAAAGCCAAACAGTGTTGAAATCTTGGATTGGCACTCAAAGGATTGTCAACAGATGCTGATAATGAGTTTCCAGATAACAGACACTCTTATGAATGTGTCTTTTTGGAGCTTGAATGGGTTTTTATCTCGCTGTTAGTTTTGGATATTAAGCAAGCAGTAATGCACTTGCGTCTTATATTACTTGCAAAACCCGTCGACTGAGTGTGATGCTGTTTGTCAGTAAAAGGTAGGTCTTTTCTCACAGATATCCTTGTTTTAAACCCTCTTACGCCTTAAATTAAAGTATAATATTTCTAAAGGCTTCTCGCGCCCTTCCGGCCTGTTGGGAAAGTGGGCCGTGGGGGAAGCTAATGCACTGTGAGGGTCAAGCTTCACTGGCCGTCTCCATTTTGAAACCCTGCCTTTGGTTTCTATGGCCTCCTGTAAGTTTGGGGTGACGGGAACATTTGCACACAGAGACCTTAAGTCACGCTCGGACAGGCGGGCTGCGATCGCTTTGTCCGGAGCTGTTTGGCGACTTTTGTGGGAAAGTGGGCCGTGGGGGAAGCTAATGCACTGTGAGGGTCAAGCTTCACTGGCCGTCTCCATTTTGAAACCCTGCCTTTGGTTTCTATGGCCTCCTGTAAGTTTGGGGTGACGGGAACATTTGCACACAGAGACCTTAAGTCACGCTCGGACAGGCGGGCTGCGATCGCTTTGTCCGGAGCTGTTTGGCGACTTTTATTCGATGTACACCTTCCTCTTCCTCCTCATCCTCTCATTTGTTCACCCCAGGGCCAGGTTTAGACCACCGAGATGTAACGCGAGATTGTGTCGTGCTCCGAAGACCCGGTGGAGACACACGTGGAAACTTAACTCTTTCTCAAACTTTTTTTTTAAATTAAGACACCAGAGCTTAGATAAGACTTACTTTCTCTTGACTAAAACCGCTGAAATATGATCCATTCATTCATAAGGCCATTCACAGTTCACACCATCTGATAACTTTTAACTCCGTGTGCAGCCTCGCAAACTCTAACTTTGCTGAAATGTCTGATATATAAAGATCTTTTCTATTCAGACACACAACCTGTTTTATATGATATATTATACTTACGTGTATATATATATATATTTTTTTTTTTTTCACATTTCCTGCCTTATATACAGACACACATATAGACTTCAATATATAATTTTTTTATATTAGGATTACAACTTTATTTCAAATAATATACACTTTTCATTTATGTAGCTATATAAACTAGAAAAAGCTTACTGACCTAAAACCTTCAATATTAAAGGTATTTCAAAAAAATTTTACCAGGTAAAACACAGCCTTGAATTAATTAATTTAAGAAGTCATTATTTGTCTCTAATGATTTGCATTTTTAATAATTGAGTCTATTTTTAGTTGAAATAAACCAAAAAAGCTCCTCTTTGCTCTTCAGGTAAATAATTGTTTTGTGCTAGACTAAACTGACACAAAAAACATTTTCAATACTTTGAAAACAAATGAGATAGAAATAAAATATATTATAAAGATAAATAATAAAATATTTAGTTATTTATTGTATAGTATCTATATTTGGATATTAGTATATTATATTTGTTTTAGGGACTGAATTTGATTTCATATTTTCTTAGATATTTTGTTTTTATCTTGTGACAATATCTTGTTATTAAATTATTTATTATTATAGATATTTTTTATTGTAATTATTGCAGTTCAATTTAAAAAGCCAGAAAACGATGTGCGTGTGGTTTACTATATGAAAAGTAAAAATAAATAAATAAATACTCCATGGTCATTTGATTTTCTGACAACCCAGTCTTTATTAGATTTGCTCCCTGTGTACATATTAAAATGACTTATAACTATACAAAATAATTTTTTAACAGTTTTCAGAGCAATCTGTGCTCTTACATTGCTAGTTTATTAGTATTCCTCCCCAGAGACGTAGACATCAGAGATTCTAACAGAAATTGTCTGTACAAAACATCTCATTCTGTGAGATTTCAGGCCGGCGTTTATCTGAGAGCAGGAGGGAAGGTTCTCGTTGCAGCAGCTGCAGTCTTTCAGTCGGTGTCAAGGATGGGGACACCATGTGGACAAAGCAATAGAACCATCACAGGTTTGACAGATCAACATTTTCACCAGACCCGAATCGTTCGCTTTCTCAGAATTCCTTCTGTTAGTTCTACTCTCTAAGTTTAATGTGTCACTCGAAACGAAATATATTTAGACCCTACGCAATTAGACAAATGCATGAGGTATGCAATTCCAGACCCTCTCTGTTCACCATGCATTTCCATCTAAAACTGGTAAAATTAATATATCAAAAGATACAAAAGTTTTAGAATTAGGACAAAGTAAAAAAAAATGGAATGTACAGCAAACAGCCGAATAATTTAATCTGCATCCCAGAACCCTTAGAAAGGAACCTTCACCATATGAGAGAGAGAGAAAGAAAGGACGAGAGGGACGTGTCAATGTGTTTTAATGGGATGTAAAACTCTGGTTATCTTGACTGTCTCAGGTGATTCTTTTTACGTCTCTCCAGGAAAAATCTGCAGTGAGACACAAAAGAAATTATATAGTGAATATATCAGTTTTATTATGTCTTCTTTTTATTATGTCTTTGTATAGGCTAGTACAGGGGTCACCAAACTTGTTCCTGGAGGGCCGGTGTCCTGCAGAGTTTAGCTCCGACCCTAATCAAACACACATGAACCAGCTAATCAAGGTCTTGCTTGGTATACTTGAAACTTCAAGGCAGGCGTGTTGAGGCAAGTTGGAGCTAAACTCTGCAGGACAGCGGCCCTCCAGGACCAACTGTGGTGACCCCTGGGCTAGTACATCAGTGAAGTAATGCATGTTGTTTTTATTGGAGCAGTTACACCGCAAGACTCCAGAGGGCGATACAGGTGACTTCAAATGTCTGTGTTGGATACGTTACCACCTTATTTTGGAACGCAGAAGTAAGCTGTTTCTCTTTGAATGTGCGAGAGTGTAGACTCCGTAGTAAAATGTTTACTACTTATATTAAAATATTTTATATACAAATGTTTTGAAAACAGCACCCCAGCTTAATCTATTTAAAAAGGAGCTAGCTAGCCATATTTACTGAGGTCTTAAAAATGATGAGAAATTATAAGGCCAGGAAATTATTTGATTTGTTTATTCAGTATGATTTTGTTTAACCCCCTACAATGTTTATGCATGTATGAATGTATTTAATTTAATTTAATTTATATTATTTTTATTTTTTTATTTTTTATTGGTTGGTGTTTTGTTTCTCTGTTATAGTGTGTATTATTAATAAGAATGTCTCAGTCTGTGAGGACTTACAGTTCTTCTAAAGTTAGCCTATATTGTTCTGTTAATGTTGAAAAAAAGAGAGGATAATGGCAAAACAAAAAAAGGTAAACAAAAGTAAATAACTAGAAGAATAGATGCTTAGTAAGTAAACATCATCTAGTAAAAAGATGCTTTATTTTTATGATGTATAAATGACTCGTATGTAAATTATTATTATTTTATTTTTCGTTTTAGAATTTGATTTGATATAACTGATGTTATAATTGCTTGTTCATTGTACAGGAGACTGCACTATAAAAAATGGGGAAAAAATGTATCATAAGTATGATTATTTTTAATAGTATCACTGAAGAGGCTGATGAAGAAATCAGATATAGCACGGAAGAAACAGATGCTTTTATGGCGACTGTAAGAATAGAAGTCTCGCCTTTCAATTGAAAAAAAAAAAAAAAACAGCCTATGAGTAATTTCACTGATTTGCATAGACCGGCTTGTAAGTATAAGCATATTGTAACAATTTATGATGCTATTGTTGTCAAAATATATTGCTGATTTGAAATGTTATCTTTATGTAGACTTTTTAGATTTCTTGAGCTTATTAGAGTAGACTATCTTGTGTAGTTAGCTTATCTAAATAATGAATAGCTTTTCTGAAACCAAACTCCGTACTGACAAGCATTCACAAATTACCTCATTAAAATAGTTGTAATCACTTGTGAGTTTTCAGAAGACGTTTATAAAGCTTTCCATATGTGATCACATGATACCTGTTACAGTGTTTTTGTAGAGTCCTGGTCGCTAGGAGCTTGGCATAGGGGTTTTGCTGGCATCATCTGATCCTGAAGAAAGGCGGGAACAGATATTAGCATGTGTACAGATCTCTCTTGACCTCCCGTTCTCTGAGAAGTAAGTGTTTTAAGCAGAATCATTACCTTGTGTTGTGTCTTCAAGATGATCTGGTTCATCGTGTGTTTTAGAAGCGGCATCTGTAAAAAAGGATGTGACAATTGCTATCATAGTTCTTTAAATCAAAAGTCACAGGTTTAATTATGAAGCATCACAACATCTGTCTCATTTAAGTCTCTGAGTGACTTACCTGTGCCATCTTCAACCCCAACTTCATCATCATGGACATCAGTGTCATCATCATCATCTAAACAGAAAGAAGTATGAGACCGCTTTCAATTCACGATTTCCCAGAATTCTTTAAGGAAGAGGCCCAATCTGAGAGTGACAGGTAACAGCTATGCCATGTCTATAGCACAAATGTTCTGAATTACATGTCAATATGTAATACTTGGGGTTAGGGAAGCTCAAAATGAAGTGCTTTAGACCCACGAGACGTACCGTCTGCAACATCATGGCTGTCTGCATCAGTGTTTTCATCAGTGTGTTCTGGCAGAAAATTGAAAGAACATACATTTAATACTTTTTACATGACAAAGGCATCGCTTAATTCTTACGTAACTGAGCTCATAAACATATTTACCATTTGATGTCGTAGCATCTGTTGAGTCATTGTCATGGTCATCTAGAAGAAGAAAAAGATTAATACTGCATCAATTTTGTCATCATACATGTTTTAGTAACAATACATCTCACAATTGTGATTTTATATCTGAAATTGACTTTATATCTTGCAGTTTTGACTTTTTATCACACAATATGACTTTAAATCTCAATATGTGACTTTAAATCTTCAGCTATTGTTTTCTCTCCGTCTATGCTTGAATCAAAGATGCTGTGATGTAACTTCGTTCACCATTGATGGCCATTCATAAGCAACTAGCAATTTTTTGCAAACAACATACTTAGATAAAACTCACAAATATTTCATTATATTAAAAATATTGTTTAACCAGTGCTTATTTGATTTTTTTTTTTAAAGCTTTATAATTTTCTATGTCTGTTGTTTTCTACTCAGCAAAGACAAGTGAAAAAACCCTCAGATTTAAATGGAGTAGAAGGTATTTATTGCTCGCTGCATTGTACATCACATCTGGTTCACAGTTAGCATTGAAATGAAGGTGTTTTGTGAGGAATGAAACTCCTCTGATATGTAAACAGAAAATGTTATGGTTTGTCTTACCGCTGGAGTCAGAATGAGAGTCATTTGTCTCTATTGATGCCCCATCAGGAGACTCTGTAGGTTTAGACATTCATACATTAGAAATTCCCAATTTTTTCTGTAACAATACAGACTGCAGGCAACTTTATATCTATGGAAGCCTGTTTTACTTCTTTTTTTCTATTTCACAGTGACACAGTATATGACTTTGTCTTCTAATTATGACTTTATATGCTGAATTGTGACTTTATACCTCACAATGTGACTATATCTTGAATGACTTCTCACAATATTACTTTGTCAAAATATGATCTCACAGTCATGAGTTTTCATCTTCATTTATAAACTTTACATTTCACAGTTGTGACTTTATATCTCACAATCATGATTTTATATCTTCATGTATGAATATATATCTCACAATTGTGAGTTTGTCTCAATATGTGACTACTTTATATTGTCAACTGTGACTTGAATAAATTAGTTTGACTTTATATCTCACAATTTTGACCAAATTTATACCTCTCTATTGTGGCACAATGTGACTTTATTCTTATTTGAAACATTCTCACAATTATCTGGTATATTTCTTACTCTGAGGTAGAAATGGGCCTCCATATTTATCAGTAAATACCTTGTTTCTCCCTGTCCACGCTGGAGTCATTGTCTTCATTGGTATCTGTAGGCATAAGAGCATTAATAAGTTGATTGATGTTGTGATTTGATGAATGTAAAACACAAAGGCCTGAATGTTTACCTTCCCCTTCTGATTCTGAGCTGTCCGTGTCGCTGTCAGAGCTTTCTGTGTCTGTGGACTCTGTGCTGTTCTTGTCTTTGTCCTGCTCTTTATCTTTGCTGTCAGAGTCTGTGTCTGAATTTGAGTCCAGACTGGAGCTGTCAGAATCAGGCTTGTCTTCTGTCATTTCCTCCAGTGGACTTTCGTCAGACTGACTGGCTGCGGCGTCTTCTTTTGAGGTGGCGTCTTCCTTGTCCTGTTCGTCTGGTTTGGATTCGTCCTCTTTATCTTTTCCCTCATCGCTGTTGCTGCCCGTCTCATTGGTCTCCTCCTTCTCTTTGGCATCCTTCTCGCTGTCTCCATCATCTTCACTGCTGTCCTTGTCTTTATCCTCGGCGTCTGCTGCATCAGGGGAATCTGCCGCGTCTTGAACGCTGCTGGTGTCTGCGTCGCTGTCAGTGTCCTGGTCTTTCTCTTTCTTCTCCGTGCTGTCGGTGTCTTTCGATTCTGAATCCTGGTCTTTGGAGTCGTCTGAAACTTTCACCTCATCAGTGTCTGAGTTGCTGTCTGTGTCGCTTTTGTCTGCCGTCTCAGAGGTTTCGTGACCCTCGTCTTCTGAGTCTTTACTGGAGTCATCGCTGGTGTCTTTGTCGTCTTTCTTGTCACTCTTTTCATCGGTGTCTCCATCTGTTTTGTCTTTGTCAGAATCTGCATGTAAAAAAAACAGTATTTAATTATTATATATCATTAAACTGACATAAATCATTTTAATTACAGACAAATGTCTTGAAACTCAACTTACAGGCAAATTAAATGAAAAAAGTACCACGGTTTGAGGATTGCATCAGATGATAGTAATATTCTATGATGCAGAATTTCATGTGAAATATGCCATGGTACTTCCAAGAATACCATGGTACTACCTTTGTACCGTGGTAATACTAAGGTACATTGACGTATCGTTTTATTTATAAATTATTTACATAGCCATCCAAGGTACTTCAAAGATTGCATGTCAAAAAAAAAACATGGTATTGCCATGATACATGTGAAAAAAAGAAATTATTTTACTGTACCATGTACAAAAATGTTTCTTGTATTAATACATTATTTACTTAAATAGACTGCTATAATTAAATAAAACAACTGATAAATCATATCACTTCCATGTGAATTAATTTCTCGTAACCAGATTAGATGTGATAAATACTAAAACTAAAAAAAAATGTTTGTTACTTGAAATAAAATCAAATATAAAAAATAAAAATATTCAACTAGTTGCCAAAGTAACATTTCTCATTTGCATTTAGTTTATCTTGATGTACTAAAATTAAAGCTAAAATAATAAATTATTTTAAACCAATAAAAATGACAAAACACTAAAATTACTACAAATATAAAATCAAAATGAAAACAGATAATGTAAAATTCAAACAAATTCAAAATATGAATAAAAACTGTAATAACTGGTTTTGAGTCAGGACAGAAAATAATACTTGGTACTCAAAACTTTTACACTGTGCCTTATTAGTGCACACTGTTAGTTATTCTTTTAAAGACCAAGTGATAATCATAATATTGTTTACAAAAAAAAAATGAGACACTGAATGTCATTTGTGGCATTCAAGCTTACCGTCAGAGTCCTGCTGCTCATCTGTGTCTGAAGAATCCTTGTCTGATGAATCATCTGTATCTCCTTCATCAGAGCACAAACACAACTGTTAATAGTTACTTACTACTGGCTAAATCAGACAGGATCATTATTTCAAAGAAAAGTTTGTTAAAATACTAAAATTACTAAAAACAGAAATAAAAATAAATGAAAGCTAAGTATAACTTAATATATATATATATATATAAACACATAAAAATGACTAAAAATAAAATAAAAACAGAAAAACTCAAAATTTAAAATATGAATAAATAATAAATAAATAAACCAACCCTGATTTGACAGTTTGATTTGGAATCATTTCTGCAGTGATTTCAAATACCTGTAGAGGTTTTATTTGCATCATCAGGTGCATCATCAGAATCTTGCTTTTCCACACTAGCAAAATCCCCGTCTGAAAATACATTCATATGCCAGCATTGTTTCAGAAGAATATCATTTTGTAGTGAGAAAGGAATGACTGTGCCAAGTAGGATGTGTTCCTGGAACATCTTTTGTTAGTGCTGGAACAATGTTTATGTCAACAGTGTTCATACTCCTCACCCTAACCATTAACTACCACCAGAGGGGAACGGTGGCTTGATAAGACTGATTAAAGGCCCACGCACAAGCCTGACATTAACCCTTAATCTGAATGGTTGCTATGACTGTTGTTCAATAATCAACAGGATGTTGCTACAGAAACATGTTCCGCTTGAAGCATGAGAAATCTCTACCTGAGCCGTCTGAATCAGTGTCTGCCTTTTCATCCGTGTCTGTGAAGCAGAGGTTTAAATAGTGAGTCAGTAAATCATTATGTATCTCACACACACTCACACACACACACACACACACAC